GGATGATGGGTGTGTGAGTGCTGGATGTGTGTGTGTGCTGGATGATGGGTGTTTGTGTGAGTGCTGGATGATGTGTGTGTGTGTGGGATGATGTGTGTGTGTGTGCTGGATGATGTGTGTGTGTGTGCTGGATGGTGTGTGTGTGTGGGATGATGTGTGTTTGTGTGAGTGCTGGATGATGGGTGTGTGAGTGCTGGATGATGGGTGTTTGTGTGAGTGCTGGATGATGGGTGTTTGTGTGGGATGATGTGTGTGGGGGGGAGGATTTTTTTTAACTTTATATTTTTTTTTATTTTATTCCCCCCTCCCTGCTTCTTACCTTGTCAGGGAGGGGGGAGATCGCCTGGTGGTCCGGGTGGAGGAAGCCAGCCGCTGCACAGAGGGGCCATCACACACTGTGTTCCCTCTCCAGCTCTAACTCTCGCGAGACTCGCCTGTGCGGAGCGTTGCCATGGTAACAGCCGCGAGAGTTATAGCTGGAGAGGGAACACAGCGTGTGCTGGCCCCTCTGTGCAGGTAGCAGGGCCGGTCCTGCAGGACAGGTAACGGGAACGGCGTTCCTGCTATGGAAAAAGTGCAGGAACGCCGTTCCCATGCGTTCCTGCAGGACTCGAGCCCTGGATTAGCCACACCATTAAAATCACTGACAAGTGAAGTCCATTTATTATATCGCTACAATGGCACCTGTAATGGGATGGAATATATTAGGCAGCAAGTGAACAGTCAGTTCTTGAATTTACATAGTTACATAGCTGAAAAGAGACTTGCGTTCATCAAGTTCAGCCTTCCTCACATATGCTTTTGCGGTTGATCCAAAATTGCATTTGTTGGAAGAAGCAGGAAAAATAGGCAAGTGAAAAGATCTGAGTGACTTTGACAAGGGATAAATAGTGATGATTAGACAGCTGGTGTCATATCCCTGAGCAGGTCAGATAGGAGATGATTGCCAGGGTTAATTGGTTGAATTGTTATTGGTGTTTTTAGACATAACTTGAATGGAAGAAGAATTAAGGCAATCTGCCGCAAACAGGATACTTGAAAGTAAATAAAGTCTTTGAGATCCAAGTAGGATTGAAGTTATTCAATTAGATTAGTACATTGTAGAATGCTACAATGCAGCCAGGTTCAGGATGTTTCAGGGTTTAAGTAAATAAGGCAGGTAAATTCCTTCAGGTATTAGGCAATACAGGTTGCTTACAGGATCATGCAGAGTTGAAGTAGTAAAGCAGGTAACTATCTTCAGTTTGATACAATGCAGATAAATTCAGGATGATTACAGGAGCCAGGATCAAAAGTTCTTCGTTGGAATACTGACTTCAATATCAAGGTGATTTGGATCATAGGGTGTGGCCTTTTATAGCGGAGTTGATTGCAGCTTCTCCAGGTCAGAACTGAGGTCAATAGTGGCTAGGGAGGCTACTACAGGTGAAAACCAGATATTGAAATTAAAGGGGCAGTAATAAATGAAAAAGTCTTACATGTCAGTTTTGGAATATGACAGCTGGGTCAGAATATCTCCAAAACGGCAAGTTTTGAGGGGTATTCCCGGTACCAGTGGTTAGTTCCTACCAAAAGTGGTCAAAGGAAGGACAACCAGTGAACTGGCATCAATGCCCAAAGCTCATTAATCCACATGGGGAACAGGGCCAGACTGTCCCACTGGGATACCAGGAAATGGCAGTTATGGCCACACAATGCAGCAGTCCCCACCCAGTAAAACCACTCATGTTTGATACCTGATGAGCTGAGGCCCCCCTCTGTGAAACTGCACTTTATCCACTCGTGAGCAGCAAGTGCTGTAAAGTAATGCAAGGCTACTTGCCATTGCTGTCTTTAATATTGATTGGACCCTGGGCAAGCATTTGCTTGTGCCCCCAGGACCTCGCCCTCCAAAAGGGGTTACTGTGCAATGTGAGTGTGCTAGGGCGGTGTGAATGAGATAATGTTGGGCAGTGAGTGTGACAGGCTTGGGGGCATTACATTGACACGGTGGTGTGGTATGGTTGCGGGCAGTGGCGTACTAAGGGGGGGGGGCGGTCCGCCCCAGGTGCCAGCAGGGTGGGGGTGCCTTGGGAGGGGGCGCCGCCCCCCTCATGCTGCAGCCGCCCGAGCACTCTGTAGAGAGCCTCAGGCGGCTGCAGCTTTGCCCGGGCGGTGCGTCCATGAGGGCGCACCGCCCGGGCACAGCATGAGGAGAGGGGCTGACAGGAGGGAAGCGCTCAGCGCTCCCTCCTGTCACTCCCTCTGTTGTAGCGTGGCCGAGCCCTCTATCGGTCCGCGGGTACAGGGAGCATCTGTCTCCTGTACCCGGCCGGACTAACAGGAAGTGCACACTGAGTGTGCACTTCCTGTTAGTCCAGCCGGGTACAGGAAACAAAAGCTCCCTGTACCCGCTGACTATACTGGGCTCGGCCACGCTACAGCAAAGGCAGGAGGGGAGGGGAGAAAGAAATTAGGGGAAGAGGGGGGAGAAAGAGAAATTAGGAGGAGGGGGGGAGAAAGAGAAATTAGGAGGAGGGGGGAGAAAGAGAAATTAGGAGGGGGGAGAAAGAGAAATTAGGAGGGGAGAGATTGACATTCATCACACACACATACACACAATGCACCCCTTGCACACAGAAAAACACACAATGCATTACACACACAGACACACATACACACGCAATGCAACCGTTACACACAATGCATCCCTTACACACACAGAAACACACAATGCATTCATTACACACACTCAATGCACCCCTTACACACATTCAATACATCCCGTACATACACAGAAACACACCTTGCAGCCCTTACACATACAAACACAATTTCACACAATGCATTCCTTACACACATATCAGGACATCCCCTACACACTCCACCCCCTGTGAACAATTGGTGGAACATGAAGGTGGACCCTAGGACCCAGACCCTGAGCTGTGTAAAGGTCCCCAAAAAAATGGAGCTGCTTCCCGTTCTCCCAGAACATTGATTTTTGTGACCACAGTTACAAACAGCCTCCAGAGAGCCTGTTCTACACCAGACCAGTGGAGTCAGACTGCAGCTAGAGCCCATCATCATCCTCATCTGGTTGTAAGTAGGCAATCTAGTATATTATTCGTGGCACTAATCTCTAATTTACCTCATATTAAAGAAACACTATAGTCCCCAGAACCACTTCAGCTTAATGTAGTGGTTCTGGTGTCTATAGCCTGTCCCTGCAGGCCTTTTAATGTAAACACGGCGGCACTGCAGCACTGGCGTTAGTTAACATTGCAAATCATATGAGTGGGGCATTTTGATGTCACATGGGGGGGAAGGCAAACTTTACTTTTGCCTAGGGCGGCAAAAATCCTTGCACCGGCCCTGGCTGGAGGGGGCTGTGTGAGCTTTGGCCGCACAGTGCCCCATGGTAGTTAGGGTGCCGTGCGGCCAGTACAGCTCACACAAGCAAACAGCTGATAAACTGGCCGCACAGAGGAAAAGTGTATGTGTGACTGTCTGCCTGTGACTGTGTATGACTGTTTGCCTGTAACTGAGTATGTGACTGTCTGCCTGTAAATGTGTGTGTGGGGCTGCAGGGATTTTGTAGAAGAGGGCGGAGGTTTTGTATTGGGACAGGAGTCTTTATAAGGGGGGATAAGCAGGGGATTTGTGGAAGGGGGTTGCGGGGGTTTTGTAGACGGGGCAGTACAGGATTTGTAGAAGGGGCAGGACAGAGGTTTTGTAGGAGGGGAGGGGCAGGACAAGGGTTTTGTAGGAGGGGCTGACAGCGGTTTTGCAAAGTTTACAAATTGTAAAAAAAAAAAAGAAAAAAAACCTTTGTAACGGACCGTTTTGCCCACAAGAGGTTAAAAACCGTTTAGGCGATATTCCCCTTTTTCAGCTGCACAGACAGCTACTGCAAGCACCAATCTCCTGAACTGCAAACCCACAAATTCACCAACTCCCGAACTGCATACCAAGGGAATACTCGAAACTCCCGAACTGGAGACACACGAATAGCTGCTAGCCGACGAACAGGAAAAGCCCCCAAGCGGCTTACACTCCTGGCAATCAGTCTCTAACAGCATACAGTAAATCCTCCCCCAATAATAAGACGACACTTCATTTTGAGGGTTAAGCAGGAACTCTCTGTAATGGCCACACACTGGCTTTTATGCAAGTCCCCATGCCAGGGGACATCCCACATGGTGGGACACAGTACAACCAATCGTTACAGGGGAACCATAAAACACACCCACATTTACATCACAATCCCTCCTCTCTGTCCAGGAGGTAAGTGTGAAGTAATCCAATTATCTCCCAGGACAGAGGCAAGACTCCATTAACCACATGGCAGTAGCAATACAATAAAAGACATAAAATTACATAGTTACATTTATTCCATAAAACATAGACATTCTACATATCCCCAGATAGCTTAGATCTGAGTGCACATTACTTCCGAATGGCGCTCAGATCACATAAATACAGTTCAATCGCCATGGAGCCAAAGTCTTTCATACAGTCTTTCAGTTTATGGCTGGGCTCCATGGCATAGCTATCTGGGTTAGCATGGCTTTAACAGTCTACAGAAAGGCATGAATATGCTTTGCAGGGAAAATAAAAGGTTTTAACTGCCGGGCCATAGTCTAAAGGGAGCAGGCGAGCAACCAGGCTCCTCCAGTGGACAGTGGCGAGGCTGGTTTCGCTGCAACCTTTAACATTTTTTACAGGTTTTTTTTTTTTTGTGGGGGGGGGGTGAGAAGCACAGGATCCGCCCCAGGTGCCAAATGCTCTAGGTACGCCCCTGGTTGCGGGGTGAGTGGTACAGGGTTGGGGTGAATGTGGCATGGTTAGAGGAGGAAGTGTGACAGTGCTAGGGGAGGTGAGCGTGACATGATTAGGGATTGATTCATGTGACAGGGTGTGTACAGCATGATTGGGGGATGAGTGTGACAGAGTTGGAGGGGTTAATGTGATTGGGTGAGTGTGGCAGGGTGAAAGGGGGTGAGTGTGACAGAGTGATGGAGGATGAGTGTGACAGCATGGAAGGGTGTTTGTGACAGTGCGAGAGAAGGTGAGTGTGACAGGATTAGGTGGATTAATGTGATAGGGTGAGTGTGACAGCATTAGGGGAGTTAATGTGAGTTTTGTTGGGTGAAAGGGGTGGCATTGTGTGGAGGGTGACAGGAGTGTATGTGTGCAGTGTTGAACATGCAGGGGTGTATGCATTGCCACACACAGATACACCCTTACACATAGGGTGTATCTGTGTTTGGCAATACATACACAAAAGCACTGACAAGCAAAAGCAAGTATACTGACACACAGGTACACATACACCAACACATACATAAAGGTATATAAACACACATGTACACATACATGCACAGATACAAAGACATACATATACACACTGACACACAAGTACATACAAACTGAGGCGTAGCGTGGGGGGTGCAGGGGGGGCCGGCCGCACCGGGCGCAAAAATCTGGGGGGGGCGTGCTCAGGGCCGCCCCCCCCATGCTGCAGCCGCCCGAGCGCTCTGTAGAGAGCCTCAGGCGGCTGCAGCTTTGCCCGGGCGGTGCGTCCATGAGGGCGGACCGCACCGCCCGGGTGCAACCTGAGGAGAGGGGCTGACAGGAGGGAAACGCTCAGCGCTCCCTCCTGTCACTCCCTCTGTAGTAGCGTGGTCGAGCCCTGCAGCATTGATGGTCCGACGGGTACAGGGAGCATCTGTCTCCTGTACCCGGCCGGACTAACAGGAAGTGAACACTCAGTGTGCACTTCCTGTTAGTCCGGCCGGGTACAGGAAACAAAAGCAACCTGTACCCGCGGACCATCATGCTGCAGGGCTCAGCCACGCTACAACAAAGGTGGGGGGGAGGAGAAAGAAATTGGGAGGGAAGGGGGAGAAGAAATGGGGAGGGTGGGAGAAGAAATTGTCAGTGGAGGGGGTAAGAAGAAATTGGGATGGGAGGGGAGAAGAAATTGGGATGGGAGGGGAAAAGAAATTGTCAGGGGAGGGGGTAAGAAGAAATTGGGATGGGAGGGGGGAGAAGAAATTGTCAGGGGAGGGGGTAAGAAGAAATTGTGAGGGGACTGGGGGGAGAAGAAATTGGGAGGGGGGGAGAAGAAATAGTGAGGGGAGGGGGGAAGAAGAAATTGGGAGGGGAGGGGTGCAAGAAGAAATTGTGAGGGGGGGAGAAGAAATCAAGAGGAGAAGAAGAAATTGGCAGGAGCGGAGAAGAAATTGGGAGGAAGGGGAGAAGAACACAGGAGGTGGGAAATTGGCAGGGGAGGGGGGAGAAGAAGAAATTGGTAGGGGAGGGGGGAGAAGAAGAAATGGGGAGGGGAGGGGGGGAGAAGAAGAAATTGGTAGGGGAGGGGGAGAAGAAGAAATTGGTAGGGGAGGGGGGAGAAGAAGAAATTGGTGGGGTGGAGAAGAAATTGACGGGGGTTAGAGTTACAGGGGAGGAAGGGGCAATGAGAGTGGGAAGGGGGAGGGGAGAAGAGAGTGACAAGGGAGGGAGAGGGGGGAGAAGAGAGTAACAAGGGAGGGGGGAGAGATTGACATCCATCACACACACATGCAATGCACCCCTTGCACACAGAAAAACACAC